TAATTAAAAACACTAAATTAAGAAAAATAATAATAGAAAATCTAATATCATAATTTGATCGAATTTTTCCTCAATCTCGATTCCTTTTTCAACTTTACTTCTAACAACTTTCATTGATTACAATTTAATAAGAAATGTCAAACCTAAACAAACCCTTTTCGTAAAACTATATCACAATATCGAGCAAATAATTCAGCTGATTTTCTTGCATTATCAGTAACTTCTGTTAATACATTATTATTAATAAAATTTGTACAAGTCTAAATACACAAGATAATCAATGAAATTATTTGGAAAATATTCTATTTACTTTATTAACAGAAGTAATCAAATTTTCGTCATTATTAAAAAATTTTTGTGCAACTTTAAAGAATTCTTTATGAATTATCAAGAATTGTTTCAACATAAAGTTTCAGATCCTAAAAACAAACCACAGATAAACAATGGTAAATTAGTTTTACATTAATTGCAGTGACACTAATTCATTCCATAGATTGAATACTTTTTGGAAGAAAATTATCTTTCAAAATTTTTTTCAATTGAACAGTTAGATTTGGTATTTTATCAGTTGATTTGAATAGACATGCAAAATCTATTAAAAAATAAATCATTTAGAATTGATCATATGAAATTTTCTAGATCAATTTTATGTTGATAAATTTTTGTTTCTCTACATGAGTAGTTTTCATCATGTAAAAGTGTTTTTGCTTCAGTATAGATTGCTTCAAGTTATAATCAAGAATAAATATTTGTTCAAGTTTTTTTTAATTAAAGATGCTGATGTTGATGAATGTAAATATGATTGTACTCGATGTAATTCTTCATCAATCCATCGTGATACCTATTAAAATTAAGATTAAATATGTTTTATCATTTTTATAAATAAATATAAACTTTTTTCAAATATTCAGACATAGAATTGTGAAAAAGAAAAAATTAGATGCTTCTTAACGATAAAATTGTTCTGTATATTGAAAAAATGGTACTTCAAAGTAATCGTTATAAATTTTCAATGTTGGAGATATTATTTGATCATTACTATTTGGTACAGATGAATTTTCCTCAAAGCCTAGTTCGACTAAAATTTTCCATATAAATTTCAAGAAAAATAAAAAGAATCTTGATCTTTACTATATAACTTTCTACAACTGCACGAATAAATCGAATATTAATCATTTCATTTTGACGTTCGGCATTGATTAATTGAAGACATGTTAATGTTACTTGATTTGCCTTGTAAATCAAATCCTTTCTACAAATAAATATGGCATCATTAATAAACAATAAGAGTAGCTCAATATTAGAAATAAAATAAATTTTGAATTAATAATATACTATCTATTACAAGTCGCAATAGAACCATCAAAGATTGAGAATGAAAGAATATGACACGAAAATAGGTTTATATATTATTGATTGTTTATTGCATTACCTCTTTTAGTTTCAGACTTAACATGACTTACTTATTAACTAATAAGATAATTGTTTGTGAGTAAAGAAAATTGATGAGCT